AAAAAAAAACTCTTAAGGCAAATGTTCATGGTTTAAGTTGCTATGTGTATTTCTTTAATTTAAGCTATGGAAGTTAAAAACACGGCGATCATCTGCATATGTGAAAACAAAGTTATGGTAAAATACTTGATCTCTAATACACGAGATTAAATTAAAAAAGTCGTGTTTTGTCTAAAATAATGATGTCTTGCAAAATCTTTTCCATAATATGTGATGATTTTCTCTAGAAGGAGAAGCTTTTTTTAATCCTTAGACCTCTCAATCTTGGGCATAAGACTCAGATTTTATGATCAGTTCTCGCTGACTAAATAATGTAGTACTTTGATAAATAAAATAAGATTAGCTTTTATTATTTTGGTAATTCTAAATATTTTTTTAATTGGATTAATCCAAGTTTTATTCAAAATCATCTAATGAATCTGTTGGGTAGACGAGCGAACGTTTTTTTCTTGTGCGCATGCGTATTAATTATGATGGGGCAGTTGTCTCTTCTACCGTCACATCCGTCATTCGAGCGTAGGGAGATGGTGATATGTTAATTGCTGTGTGATGGTCAGTATGATTTCCTGTGTGATCTTTTTATTGATTATTCATGTAAATAAAGTGTGTTGTCCTACGTTGGCTTCTTTACTCTAAATATTGGCCTCTGAACAACAACTGGTAGCAGCTCCGTTGTTTTGTCAAGAAGAATTGGATATAAAATACCAAGTCGAAACCGAAAGTGTCTTAGTAGAAGCCAAAAATGGAGAAGTGGAACGTTCTCGAATTAACTGGAGAGAACTATTTTATTTGGGCATTGAAAATTAAAACTGCCTTATCATTGAAAAGACTTGACTCGGTAATTTCGACAGCGAAACCAGAAAACTTAGACGAGAAAGATGAAAGATTGTGGAATGAGAAAAACGCTGACGCCGTAGCATATATAAAACTTTCACTATCGGATCAACAGGCGTTTCAGTTCTCCACTAAAGAGAATGCAAAAATTCTTTGAGAAAAAATAAAGTCAACATTTACGAGACAAGCCGAAGATCGAAAAATAGATGCTGGTAATGAGTTAAAAAATTTAGAAATGAAGTTGCATGAGTCGGCTAATGATTATATCGCAAGAGTGAGAGGAATAGCAACTAAATGCCAATCGCTAGGACTAGACGTATCTCCTCGGAAACTGGTGTTTTACACAGTCCGTGGACTTCGTGGAAAATTCTCTCGAATTAGGAAATTGTAAAAAACTCAGCGTGAAAAAACAATTGATGAGGTGTACTAGAAATACTTCCGTGAGGAAGAGTCCGTTCACAATTCAACGAACGGGAAACGACCTGATGGAAACCAATGCAGAGGCGTTCATATCAAGAAGGAATAAAAACTATAAGCCAAGAATTTGTTACATTTGCCGACGGCCTGGTCACATCGCGAAGGACTGCTATTGCAGAAACAAGAATCCAAAAAGTGAGTTATCCAAAGGTAACAAGGAAAGAAAGAAGTCACAATCTACAAGTGTGAACATTTCATCTCGTTCTGATGAAAGTGATTTTGCTCTTCAACTTACGCGTGGAAAAAATGATGAATGTGATAAAATTTGGTTGTTGGATAGTTGTGCAACCGGACACATGGCAAAAGACTTCTTTTGGTTTCAGAATATTAAACCAGAGGTGAGGGAAATTTACCAGGCAGGTAAACATTCAAAAATATATTCGGAAGGTATTGGTACTATTAAAGCAAAAACTATAAATACAAAGAATTCTAGTTTTATTAATTTAACTATTAGTAATGTTAGTTATATTCCTGATTTAAGAAATAACTTACTGTCACTCACTGCCTTAATGGATAAAGGATGTAAGATTGAATCAAGGAATAATTCTGTATTAATTTTTAGTAAGTGTAATGAATTACTTTTTAAAGCATTTAAGAATAACGGCAGGCTTGAAGTTAATTTAGAACCATATTATAATTCTGAATCTTGCATTGCTAATGATTGTGCTGGTAATAATTATGAAATTTGGCATAGTAGATTGTGCCATTTAAATCCAAAATATATGCTTAAAATGAAAGAATACATTGATATTAATGATGTAAGTGATTTTAAGTGTGAAACTTGTGACATAAGTAAAATAACTAGAAAAAGTCATCCAAATATTGACATTAATCAGAGTTCAGAAATTTTAGAATTAATTCATTCGGATCTATGTGGCCCTGTTCAAACTGAATCAATTGATGGGTCTAAATATTTTATGATCTTAGTGGATGATTTTTCTGGAATGTATTTTACTTATTTTCTTAAAAGTAAAAGTGAAGTATTTGACGCATTTTGTAAATTGAAAGCTAAGTATGAAAATTTAACTGGTAAAAGAATTAAACGTTTGAGAACAGACAATGGTTTAGAATTTGTAAATCAACAATTAGATAATTATCTTGCTAATTCAGGTATTTTTCAGGAAAAAACAATTCCATATAACAGTGAGAGTAATGGGAAAGCTGAACGGGCAAACAGAGTTCTTTTAGAAAGGGCTAGGACATTACTACATGAGAGTGAGCTTCCGGTAAAATTCTGGGCAGAAACAATTAATTTTAGTACTCAAGTATCAAATTTAACACCCCGGAAAGGAAAAGAAAAAATTCCTTTAGAAATTTGGACTGGTAAAAAACCCAAATTAAACTATCTAAAAAAGTTTGGATGTGTGGCATACTTTCACATTCCGAAAGTAATGCAAAACAAATTTGACATACCAGGAAAAAGAGGGATAATGTTAGGGTGCGTTAGAGAAAGAAAAGGATATCGTATTTATGATATAGCAAGTAATAAAATAATTGAAGAACGATCAGTTAAATTTAACGAATCTTTAAAGGGTAGTAATTATATGGGAGAAAATAAAGCCTTAGAAACTTGGGATTTGGACATGAGCCAGCGGTGGTGATGACAGGGGGAATAAAGTCCAAACATTTGATAGCTATGAAACAAGTAATAAATACAGAAATAAAATACCATTAAGACGATCCCAGAGGCTCAAATCAAAACAACTAGCATCAAGTATAATCAGTAATGTTCCAAATGATTTTTCAGAAGCAAAACAAAGTGCTAATTGGTATGACTGGAAATCCGCAATGGAAAATGAATTAGATTCATTACATAAACACGAAGTGTGGGAAATAGCAGAGAGGCCTGAAAAAATAAAATTAGTAAAAAGTAGGTGTGTGTATACTTTGAAGGAAGGAGACTCTGGGGAAGTAAAATATAAAGCACGATTAGTAGCAGCTGGGTTTAATCAAATAAAAAATAAGGATTATACCGAATCATATTCACCAGTAGTTAACATTGAATGTTTTAGATTATTGCTTGCACTTTCAGCTAAATTAAACTTGACTGTTAAATTTTATGATGTAAAAACAGCATGCTTGTACAGTGACTTAAACGAGGATGTGTATATGACTCCTCCACCTGGTTATGAAAAACTGATTGGAGAAGGAAAAGTATGTAAATTGAAGAAAAGTATTTATGGGTTGCCTCAATCGGGTAGAAATTGGTATATGAAAATAAAAACTGAATTAGAAAAACTTGGACTGGTACAGTTAGCATCCGATAATTGTATATTCATTTATAATGATATCAAAAACATTTTTATATTGTGTTTGTATGTTGATGATTTAGCTGTATTCTGTAATAATAAAGAAATGCTTGAAAATATTGTTTCTAAAATTAAAAATATATTTGAGTTACATGAAAATACTAATTCAAAATTTTTGGGAATGTAAATAGAAAAACTTGAAAATGATATATGTTTGTCTCAAACAGAATATATTGAATCTTTATTGACTAAACACAATATGGAAAATTGTAAAATTGTAAAACGCCAATCGTTAAAGGGGCAGATAAAGGTTTTTCATGTACAAATGAAAAAAATTGATGCAATTTTGTATCAGGAATTAATTGGGGAACTTTTATATTTAGCGAATAGAACACGTCCTGATATATCATTTGTAACAACTTATTTGTCACAATTTAATCATGTACCAGAAAAAAGGCATTATCTTTTGGCTAAAAGGGAATTAAGGTATTTGAAAGGTACAAAAAATAAAAACTTTTCTATAGCAATGATTTTGGAGTTTTAAATGCATATGCTGATGCTAGCTGGGGAAATGAAGAAAATGGTAAGTCATTTTCTGGTGGTACTATTTTACTAGGTGATTCATTTGATTTCTTGGAAATGTCGTAAGCAGAGAAGTGTTAGTTTGTCTACTTGTGAAGCAGAATTATTTTCTATTTCTGAAATTTGTAAGGATATTATTTGGACTGTAAAGTTGTTATCAGAATTAAAATGTAAACAATTTTTGAATGGTGCAGTGGTTTTGAATACAGACAGTCAAGCTGCCATCCAGTGGATCAACTCTGCCAGATCTTCTACGAAATCCAGACACATGAACTTACGTTTCCATTTTATGAAGGACTTAACAAAGGACAATGTCATTAAGTTGGAATATTCACAAACTGATAATATGATTGCAGATTTTCTTACTAAGAGTGTCAGTGAAGAAAAATTAATGTATACTTTGAAAATAATTTCCTTAATTTCTTAATGTAATGTGTTATATATTGTTTGTATTTCATTTTTGTATTGAAAAAATGTTGCTCGCAGGAGGGGTGTGTTGGGTAGAGGCGAGCGAACGTTTTTTTCTTGTGCGCATGCGTATTAATTATGATGGCACAACTGTCTCTTCTACAGACACATCCGTCATTTGAGCTTCGAGCGTAGGCAGATGGTGAAATGTTAATTGCTGTGTGATGGTCAGTATGATTTCCTGTGTGATCTTTCTATTCATTATTCGTGTAAATAAAGTGTGTTGTCCTACGTTGGCTTCTTTACTCTAAATATTGGCCTCTGAACAACAGAATCGAAAAGGTTCTTCAGATTGCTGACGAAGTTATCGAAAAGGAAACTGTATTTGATATGTTAATCAAGTTAAATATCATTGCAACTGTCTAGACAACATTCAATCAAAGACTGATACTATTTTAAAGGAAATTTATATGCATTTTGAATAATAAATAATACATATCATTCTTCTTTTTTATCTTTATTATGTGTCATTTTCCAACGACAACTTCACCATTCGCCAACAATATATATCCGAAAACAATAAAATAAACTAAACAAACATTAAAAAAAACATTTGTGCGTTTTTTCTTATTAGTATTTAGTTTTTATTGATAAATTAATGCTATTTTTTTAACTCAAATTTGTAACTCCTAGAAAAGTTGCGGGTTACATTTCGGAAACTCAGATGTTACGCTGTATAGTATTTTAATAATTTAGGTAACAAAATATGGAAATTTTAACTCAGCTGTTCGTTGCTGCTTATAGTTTCATTGCGTTGAACAAAGTAATATATATTAAGTAAAGCATGAGTACAAAAGAAAATCAAACTTATTAAAATTTTTTCTAATAAAAATCACATTCATATCAATGTACATTAAAAGCACTGGACGATTTAAAATGCATTAGAACAAAACTTTAGCAAACCAGTATAAGCGACGAGTATTGTTCCAAAAAGAATAAGTCCCTATTATTATATTTACTATTAAATTAGTTTGCATTTTATAAACCCCTATCAAGAATACGCCTATTATAACTTATAAAAATAGACTATTGATTTTCTAATTTTTATCTGACTTATTGCTTAAGTAATGTTATTCTTTATATGCAATTGCATGTAATTCAGGTTAACTGAATGCAGTACTATTCTGTTCGTGCGAATTAAATGAAAGTTTTTAACTTGCCGGTTTTATGCATCTACATAAACATAAGTAAATTTATTTAAATAATACAAGTATTTTGAAATGCTATTTTTTAATTGAATTTACAAGCATTTTGCATATTTCTGAGAATTTAGTTTAAAATCTAAAGGATATTTTATGAAAATGTTATCTGTTTAAACATAGTATTGGGAAATTTTTACACGCTGCTTATTTATTTAGTGAAGAACGTTCGCGCCAGTTTGTCATATGTCTAAACACTTTCTTGGCGATAAAACATAGAGGTCTAAAACGAAGAAGAACAACCCTCTTAAACTCCTACTGAGAGTTGTCATTTAGAGATCTCCAGGGTTCCAGAAATAAGAGGGGTGGTGGAAGATATCTGCACGGGCGCTTTAAGGCGGTCATAACGCTTTCGAGGTCTTCACCATTGACTGCCTAGAACCGTCAGTAACGCTTTCAAACACTTTTCCAGTGACCGCCCAGATGCGAGGTAATGCTTTCGAGGTAGGCCATCTTGACCGCCTAAACCCGGTCATAACGCTCAGAAGGTTAAAGCTAATTGTAAGGTAAGATGACTTGTTTGAAGAAGGGCTCTGAAAGTGCGATGACAGGTTTTTGACCTAAAAGTGAAACACTGACAAGTGAACTACACACCATGGGTGTTAAAAACTCAAGACTAGATTAAGTTTGTTTCCTTGCCCCCATGTACAACTTCAATCCTGAACCCATGGACCAAGGCATAATCATGAGCTTGATATGTCATTACAGAATGCAGCTTGTTTAAAGTATTTTGGAGAAGTATGACAATCAAGAAGATTATAACATTTAATATTTTAATGAAATGGAAGTGTGAGAAAAATCTTGGCAATCAGCTACAGAATCAGATATCTGGAGTTTTCAGTATGTTGGTGAGCAAAGGGTGTTGAAGATAAAAAATGAGGATTTGCTTATTCCCAAATGGCTAAGGAAAAAAAGTGGTATTCCAGTATTTTAAAATATTGAGATGCCATTGCGACATGGAACTTTTTCAAACGTGACAGAAATAAATATAAAAAATGCCTCAACATTGCAGATATTTCTGCTGATGTTGATGATGCCTAAATGCATAATAAAGAAAGTTAAATTTTCTACTCGCTGTGTTGCATGTCTAATCCCTCTTTTTTAGGGGGGGGATTTATCAATCAGTTTGCCCATTACTTTATAAGATGATTAATTTTTTTTCTTATCAGCTATTAGATATAACTGTGAATCAAATTTTAAATCCCTAGAAGTTCATTATAGTGAGGTTCAATTGAATTTTCATATAAAATTACATAGAAACAGGAAAGGAAAAAAATAATATGAAAGTATTAATGGTACTAAACAGACAAGTATCTTAAATATATGCAGTATAATCTTAAATATATGCACATAATCAAAGGGAAAATAGGGGATGCTGTATATATAATACATGACATAAATTACCAAAACATAAACAGAACAATTTTTAAATTCCTGTATTATATATTTAAATACATGTTCCTATATCTCATCTTTTCCAGTTCTTCACTTGCACTGCAAGAGATAGAATTAAAAAAGTTGTCACAAATCTAGTAACAATCTGCATTTCTTTCCAACTTTAACTGTTGTAATACATTACCCACCTAGCTTGTTTGAGTCTCTGGTAATGGAATCACCACTGATTGTTGCCAATAATTTAAAAAAAAATATTTGTGACAGCACTTTCTTCCTGTCAGTAGTTAATATTCTTGATTTAAAAAAAAAAAAAATCGGTGCATCAGCAAAATATACACAGTATTTTTTATTTTATTTTATTTATTCATTGTATTTCTCAACATTATCCATAAAAAGACTTTACAATTATGCAAAAAGGCCTTGAATATAAATTAACAGTTTAGCAAACCACTTTATTCAAAATTAAGATTACCACCAGCTTAAAATATATTTTGAAAGTGTGATATGTTAAGAAAACTACTCATCATGGAAAAAATTTTGATTATTCATAATTATATTCTACATTCAAATTTGGCTACTAATTTTCTCAAAATTAAAATTGCAGCATGATCTATAATTTTTCATTCTGCAAACATGATTTATTAAATATCACTGATAAAAAATATCCTTTATTTTAGTGTTACTTTAAAAAGAAAAGTATATTCTTTTTTAATGAAGTAACATACTTTATAAAATACTTTTCTAAACAGTAAAATATACGATTATAAAACATATATATACTGATTTCTTTAATATCCTCCTACACATCTAATTAAATCTTAGCTAAGCAAAAAGTAGCAATTACCACGGTTTATATTTTATATATAGCACTATGAAGCAAATTTTACCATATTCCGATGTATAACAGCCAAAAAAATGGCTATAATTCGAAATTCATACTGAATATGGTAGTTTATAAACAACACTGTAAAGTAAAAATTACCATATTCAGATATTAATCAATCAAAAAATGGCTATATACAAACATATATACACATCTTGAATAAATAACATAATTCACACCGTCTTCATTTACTTTCTGGCTCTGAAAAGAAAGAAAAATCTTAGAATAATCTATTCAACTACCACACACACATTACATATATATATATATAACCTATTATTTTCTCTTGATTTGTAAACAAATGTTATAAAATGTGTAACAAAAATTTCTGGATTGCAGTTTCAAACTTAGAGATGGCTGGTTCATTATTTATGGCAACACATTTCTGAAATACACTGGTGTTTAAAATGAAGAGAACTTTCACATACACTCAATTTTTTCCAGGACAGATAGACTTTAATTAAATCTGAAACAGGTATTGGTTGATGCACATCAAAATATGCCTTTTTTTTTTTTTTTTTTTTTTTTTTTGGTTTGTTTAGAAACATAATTCACATTTTCATTCTGCATCTTTCAAGAAAATCTCCAAAATATGCAGATTCCAGGGTTCGTACACATTTTCTTACATGAAAATTAAGGACTTTTAAGGACGATCAAAGAAAAAATTAAGGACCTATCAGCAAACAAACAAACAAAAAAAAAAAAAAAAAAAAAAAAAAAAAAAGAATAGAATAAAGCAATTATCCATACAACCGACTTCATGCTTGTAATTTCACTTTAAGAAACTAACAGAAGTGTGTATTATGCACTATTATTAAATTCAATTTAATACTTACCATAAAACAATTTTGAAAATTAAAACTCCCTACAAGTTATGAAGTAGAATAACATTAAATTAGGAACATAATTTCTTGAAAAACATGTATAAGTGTATTTTACACTAATAACAGTCACTATTTTAGAGATTTAATGATTATTATTTAACTTATTTGATATTTATTTAAACACAGGTTGACTGTACTATTATAATCATAATGTAAGAATATTTTGCAGATTAAAATAACTGATTTGTAAACATACAATTTATTTCCTTGGTTTTTTGAAAGATACTAGAATAATAAACTGTACAATAAAAGATACAAAACATTTGTGCTTTTTTTAAATCTGAAATCTTTTCAGCTATTTTAACATCTAATTTATTTATGTCTATTTCCTTTTCTTTAACTATTCTTCTAAGTTCATTTGCTTTGATAAACAAATCAATGTTCCTGCAGGTCTCAGCTTCATTTGCTAAAGCATCTACTTCTTCATTAATATCTTCAATGTCGCTTTGAAGAAATTTTTTCTTCTGCTTCATATAATCAAATTCTTTCTCACTAATATTTCTTTTCCTCTTTGAATTTTCAGATTTAGTTAAAGATTTTTGTTCTTCTAAATACTGCATATATTTAGACCTTGCAGAAGCTGCTGCTGATCTCATTTCTTTATTAATTTCGATATTAAGAATACCTCCAGAAAATTTTATGTAATCAAATACTGTGCATTGAAAAATGTATGATGAGTCACTTAAATTTTCAATTTCAATTGCTTTATTTACAGAGAAGTCCCTTTCCACAGAAGCCTGTCCATGTGACAAGATAAGAATCATTTTCACTATTTTCCATACTTTTTTTAATAGCGAAAATCATGAAAATAAGAAGTGAGAAATGTGTCAAGAGAAAGATTTTGAGGATCAAAAGTAGAAAATTCATTTAAATTTGTCTTAACTACTTTGTCTAGAAACTCTCCAAACTGCAGCAGAATTTCATCACAATCATCTTGTAAAACACGTTTATTCCACATTAATACCATTAGAACTATTTTCATTTTGTTCTGGGCTTTTTCTGGACTTTTAACCATCAATCGCGGGTCTATACAAGATGCATTTTGAATAAGAGAATAATTTATTGGACATTTAGACATTAAGTGCTGTACCATTCTTAAGACACATTGTTGACCTTCTTGTTTCAATGCAAAACTTTCAGTTTGTGAAATGTCCTTCTTGCGGCATTTATCATTCATTAACTGCTCAGCAATAAATCCCAAATAAACTTTACTTTTATCATTATAACAATTTGGATCATTAAAATTAAATTTATAAAGATTTTCTGCTTATTTTTGAATATTCTAGTTTCAAAATTTTAAAGTGCTGAAGGCAATCATTTACAAGTTTTAAGATATCTTCAGCAAAAAAGGGAATAAGTGGTTTATCACTTTGATAATATTCAAGGAAAGGCAATAATATTTTCGACAGAGAGAGAAAAAAAAAATTAATTTTATAAGAAATGTTTTATCTTTAGTTGCCTTCAAAATATTTGAGAAGGATTTCAATGAATTTTTTTTAAGCTTCCCCATTTCAACTTTTTTAATGTACAGTAGCAAGTCATCCCATATTTCAATGGCTCTTTCAAATGCTGGGACATTTTGCAACCATCAGTAAAAGCAGAACTTCACAGGTAGCGTTTTTAAGCCAGATATACTTAAAAAATCTTCACGTCTTGCAGGGGAATTTTTAAAAATCCAATATAAGGAGGATAAGAATGATGGAATGTCCCAGCCAGTGGATGACATCCCATGCTTGAAAGCATTGTTAAGAATGTGTAAACCGCATGTCCCTAATGTCAAGCATTGAATGTTATATTCCTTTGTCAAGTCCTGTTGCAATAAATCATAAAATTTCCAGTTTACTGCAGGACCATCCATAGATATTTTTAAGAGTTATGACAAGTCTAGTTTTTCAACACATTCATATTTGGATAAAATAATTTCACTTGTTACATGCCCTATAAATGCAGAAGTAAGGTTCTGAGTTCTGACCTTATTTTCGTGATGCCAGTACCTCACATGAATATCTAGTTGCTTCTTTTGATTTGTCAGATTAAGAGTCTCATCAAATAGTAATGTAAAAAACTCAGCATTTTTACAATGCTTTAGTAACAAAGTTTTAAAATAAAGGCCAAGACCAAAATAACAGATATAAGCACATTTCTTTTCACCACATGAAAACTGTTTTGCAATGGAACTATCTGGGAACATTTTAGTGAATAACGGCCCAATATCATTGCACGATTTAAAAGAATAGTGGCTAGATTTGAAAAGAAAATAATTGTTTTTATTATTTTCTACACTTATTAATGTTGAGTTAGCAGTTGCATCTTTTCCTGAAGTAGATGGTTCTTCTAACTTGACAAAATTCATGATACTGTTAGAAGAAACTCAATTGAGAAGGGAGAGATGTTTTGCACCTAAAAGGGGCATTACATGCAATATCGCATATATATGTATACAATGTATGTATATATATATATGATAAGAAATGTATACTGAAAATATACATTTTTTACTATATATATATATATATATACAGTACAAAGTCAGAGATCCGGACATCCAATACCTGGAATGATCTAAAATCCGGACCTCAAAGCCACCACCAACCAATTTTTTAGGGCTTTTTTGGAGGGAAGGGGTATGCTTTACACATGCGCATTAGATTTTTTTCCTCATCATAAAAAAACATGCCGGAAATCCCGATTCTTAATCTCAGTTTGGCGCTAAATAAAATATCTCATTATTGAAGAAGTAATTATTTTAGCATAAATTTGTGTGATTAGTAACTTGACTCCATAACTGCGTATCTGCTTGGCATAATCTCAAACCAAAACATTTGTTAATTTTACACCAACTAATATTTTATATCCTTGATGCCGAAATTGCAAATCATTATTTATTGTATTTTGCTTTCATCACCACATGTTTATCAACGGATGACAACTTGAGTGATGACTCATGCAGCGACGCCAAATAAGAGTATTATCTGATTACAGATTTAAGTTTAATGCGCTAAAATGTTGACAAGGGGAGATTTAACAGAAATTTCTTTCCTTATGCTAAAAATAGATTTTGTTAATGATACTCATAGGACAAACGATTATATTTAGTGCTATTTGAATTAAGAATAACTGATTTGTTATTCACATAAAGCCAGAACCAGCACCAGAGCTCGCATGGCCGCACCAGGCGGCAGAATTTAGGGAAGTTAAACAGGGTTTTTCATTGCGATGACAATGCCCCAATCATCAATCAATGAACGGAGGGCAAAATCTGTAGTATGGTTCTAAATCCAGAAAATACAGCTACCGATAGTGAAGAAAGTAACAGAGAGGTTACTGAACGAGAAAAAATTTGGATTGACAAGTTATTCGGAATTCTCGACACAGCAATAACAGGACTTGAACAATGGAACTTAATAACTGAACAAGAAATTATATGTCTATAGTATTAGTCTAAAGTATTAGCAGAGAAAACAAATCAAACAACTCACATTGAAAGAAATGTTTAATAAAGTAAACATATAAATACTAAGCTCTTTTCTTTTGTAAATTTTGATACCCTTTAAATCATAAATGTTTCATTATTTCATAATTTCTACGTGCCATCTTAGTAGATTTAAAATGATCTAATATCCGGAAAAATCTCAAATCTGGGATCGCCGAAGTCCCGATGAGTCCAGACCTCGGACTTTGTACTGTCCGTATTATATATATATATATATAATATGGAATGTATATTTTCAGTTAAACTTCTACCCAATAACTTTAGTAATTCATGAAAGTTAATTTTGCGTCTAGTTAATTCAGGAAAATTAGTTTCAATTAGTTGTTTTCAGCTTTAAAAATATTAAAAATTTTTTAATTAGTTAGTTGTTTTCAACTAATAATTGTATCGCCATTAGCAAAAATAATGCATCACTACAACAACAGCTTTTTTTTGGGGGGGAGGGGGGTTGGATCGCTAAAACTTGGTGAATGTTATCATAGGATTAAAATTTAATAACCTTCTGAAAGCAGCATTCCTTTTATAAAATACTTAATTGTCTATTGAAGCTTCAAAACGTATTTCCGAACTTCACTTTTCTCGGCTAGCGTTACTGAATTTGCCCTTGGCGACCTAAAATCGAAATGGAGCCAACATATTTCCAGCGAAATCGATAACAATCCATCTGCAGAAATAAACTCATAATCCCGATATCCCATACGTATAGTATGTGCAAAAGAGAATAAACTCTGTAGAAGGTGATAAAAAATTAATTTATGGCTTAATTGAAACAAAAACAGAAATTAAGCTAAGCAAAACCGTGTAAAAACAAATTGAAATGATAAAACGAAACTTAATTTTCATGTGAATTTTCAGCGATGACTCTCCCATTCTAGAAATTTCAATTTGTTTCACACAAAGACCACATTTAGCTTTATAAGGATTGTCATCCATCAATATCCAGTCTTTGTAGTCAGCTTGATGAGGCCACAATTTATTGAAAATGCACTTTCTAGGCATTTCGTTCCTATTGGTGTCGGAAGGGTTGTGGCCTTCCAGATTGGGACTGCTCTAATTTTGGCAAATATTTTCAGAATCCCCCCCCCTTTTTTTTCTCGAGCGACTTCATCATCACTTTCGCCTCTTAAACAACTTCCGGCTTCACGCTTTCGTCACAATCTGCCTAAATTTATGGATAACACCTGTTTCGAAAGATTGGGTGAATAGCCAATCAGACACCAATACTTTCGTTCGAGTAGCTAATTGTTTTTTTTTTTATCGTTTCCGACGCAAATCCGCCAACAAATTGGTTAAGAGCCGTGTAATTTTAATTCCATATTCATGAGAAATCGCAATTCACACTGAGAATAGCAATCATTAGAAATGATAAGAAATGTCAAATGAGCAAAATTAAGGACCGTTTTTTCATTTTGGCCAAAATTACGGACTTTTAAGGACCCAAAATCATTTTTGAAAAAATTAAGGACTTTTAAGGACCGTACGAACCCTGAGATTCTCTTAAATTTGAACACCAGTGTATTTATCTGTCTTAATAACAGTAAAAATCTGATCTATCTTAAATAAATGAAACGTCATACTGATGAAAATAAACTGGCGATACTATGCAACTTAACACCATTTCAGTAGAAATATGACAAAATATATTAGTGCAAAATGTAGTTATCAATCAAAAGGAAAGTTACCAAATATTATAAAATTTTATAAAGAAAGTAATGGTTATAAAACCAGCTATGCCACAAAACATTTTGGTACCATTCTGAAGTGGTACTGCTTTTGTTCATAGGAAAATACCAACAATACTAAATACAGCTGTTTAAGTAGGGCATATATCTATCTTATGGTCTCTAATTTTTGGCAGGATAGGTCATATGCACACAGTAAAAGATCTATATATGTCCTCATGAAACTATTTTCATAATGCTTTATTTCAATGCGTGGTAATATACACCATGGCTGACACACACTTATCAGCTCTTACAATTAGTGATTCTTTCATTGGAACAATCACAGATCAGTGACAAACTTAAAAATACAACCAGGAAATTAATTACAGGAATACTTTAGAAATAACAAGTTGAGCCATGCAGAACTTCATATTAACCTTTTGAATGGCAAGCCTTTTTATTTCTGTCCAATGAGAAGTACATTTAAAAAGCATTAATTTGCTATTATTACATATAAGCTAACTTTACCTTTTGTTTCTACATGTTTCGTTCATTAGGATATCTAGATCATTCATGGAGGTTGGTGAGGAGAAAAGAAAAAATATTAAATATCAAGATGATATATAACATGGAACAAGAAATCTGATGACCTGATAAACGCAGTTATGCCATTCACAGTTAAGCTTTAAGAACATGTACAATATAAAATTAAGTATCTTGACAATATTCTTAAAACAAGTTTCGTAATAGTGCTCACTTCATGTGATAGTAGCTAGTAATGATATGTGATTGCTCAAACATACAGATAATAAACAGCTTTGCATTAATAATGAAAAATGGCATTTGTTCCTTAAAGATCCACTTATATTTAATGAAATGAAAGCTGTAAAGCTAAAGAATAAAAATTTTTGAAACACTTACAAAATTGTCTATGGTGGTTCACAGTAATTTTAATATCAGCTTATATCAATAAAAATCCCAAAATAAGGTGAAGAGTAAAAATTTACTAACAAGAATACTTTTATAAACTTTTAACACTGAAAATTCCACTAAATATGTATAACTGTTTAATAGTAATTATGGGTACGGGGGAATTTCATATATTCCAAGTGATTTGAGGTAACACTGGAATAAATATCAGACTCAAATTTTGTAGCTGGAAAAGTATTATGAAATGTTTACTGCAGTTAATTTAGCTTTTATGTTACCCTGATTAATTTAATCATCGACTTTAAATTAAAACACATAAAAAAAAGAGAAGACCTATACAGATTTTGCCATAATCATCTATCAAACAGCTGCTTCCAATGTAACACAATGCTTCACAAAATTTCTCACCTTCATAATCTACATACATATAAGAGTGAATTATTGTGGCCCTCCACCATATGACTACTCTTAAAAAATATGGAGACAAAATAAAGTCTAAAAAAATAATGCAATTAAACATTAATTGAATATATAAGATGCCCAATTAAGACTACATAATTTCTGCAGGGCAAGATTTCTTGCTTAGAGAGCATAATAAAAGGACCAAGAAGCATCCCTCTACAACTCACAGTGTTCGAAAAATGTGAAAGAATATGCACAACAATACATGTCTTCATTCAATGTCTCTTTAACTATCATAAAAGCACATACAAATTCATAAAAACAGGTTTACCAACAGGATGTATATGATTTTCATCTTGGGAAGAATTTGGTAAAATAAATACATATTTCAACCATCATATTTACAAATGGAGAAAATTTGCATAATAAGCAATTGACTATAGGCGCATATTCATTAGCTATTATTTGGCTTGTATAAAAAAAGTGGCATCGGGAGCCTAATCGATACAGTAAATTTTTGGATGATGAAAATGATATCATTCTTCCCAGAATATTATGTTATGTACTGTTTTTTGATGAACATGATGGTAATACCTTATGAATTGTGAAGAGAACATTTATGGCTATTCATTACACTATTATCCTAATGCCAATGCTATCCACAGGCTAAAATATTGAAAGAGTCTTCATGGTACAAAATCTCCACGACGTAGGTAGTAGAACTCAAGTTGCTATTCCAGGAAGTTCCAATATAGTGGTGGGTTGAACACACGTGCACTACGCATTCAATTTAATGTGAGAAGTACTGGGTGTAGGGTATTATGAATAGCCATTCTGTACTCATTTCGCTACAAAACACTGCAAGTTTTGCATCAAGATGACTTACGATGCATCAACTTTTATGCACAGTTACTGCAACAAAATGAAGATGAAAATGCTTTTACTGCACATTTTATTAATAAATGAAATAGCATGAAGGTATCTTCAACAGTAACAATAATCATGAGTGGTTGCAATTTTCTTCAAAAGCCAACTTGCCTGTAAATGTGTAGGGCAATATACTGAAGTCTCGTAATATATAACCATTGCTGCATTAATAACTCACCAGGCACCTGAAAATTTAACAAGCTCACTAATTAAAGGCAATCCCCCCCAAAAAAAATCCTTATGATCTACTGGGGTTAATTTTAAGTGAATAAAAAATTGTACCTTTGGTTGAAAATTAAAAAATTTTGGTTCAAAAGCACATTTAAATAGCAGTTATTCTGCTTCAGAATCATTAGAATTTTTCAGAAAAAAATTTCAATTTGCAAATCGGATTCTTACTTAATGTATCTTTAGCTATTATAAAAGCACATAAAAATTCATAAAAACAGGCTTACCAACAGGATGTATATGATTTTCATCTTGGGAAGAATTCGGTTTTGGATGACGGCGTTTACGTTCCATATGTCCTTTACAGTGTTCACATTCATCATCTGATTCTGAAGAACTTTCACCAAATTCTCTTGGCTTTTCATAAATACAACAACCTAATGATGTAAAATAATTGTATATAAACTCTGAATTTTAATGTGAATATCAATATAAAACAAAGCATAAAAATGATACTAAAGTATGTTTACTGAATGATTATTTTTGAAAACAAATTATAGGAACAGTTTACAACTTTTTTCAGATAGATTCAGTGCAGACTTGTTTTGCCTATAAATTAATTTTTGTGGTACTTCTAACAAGAGTATATCATAAACTTGTGTCAATCATAATAATTTAGGGTAGGTTTTTTAAACTTTTTTCACTCGTGACCCCTTTTTATTATTGAGATTGTTTTGCGACCCCCCAGGACCCCATAATATTTACGAAGATTTTGTGGGACCTCATAAGCATTGCGCAAATCCAACACAATCACGTGCAAAACTGTCAATTTTTTCACTTGTACTGTAATATACTATTGCAGTTTCAAGTCATTTCTAGTTTTAAGACTTAGAACAATGTGAAAATTTTAAATAAGTAAGAGACGAAATGCCAGCAAGTAAAATTAGTGTTTCTATTATAAAAAGAATGCATTGAAACGTTTTCCTTTTTTCTTTGTCTGTATTGTCTTACCTTATCTACTTTCAGATACATTGTGTAAAAATATTTGGTAATTGTAAAACTATTATAATAAGTTAAAGAAATATCAAAACTGCTAAATTTTTTGGCAACCTCCTGCTGCAAGTCCCACGATCCCCAGTTTAAGAAATGCTGATGTTTAGCAATAAATCTGAAATATGCAAAAGTACCAATATAAATTCATGACTTTAATTATTCATGATTAAATTCTTACATAACTGATATGTAATAATTTGAAAATATCTAAAATTCAAAAATATTGCTTTCCAAAGTAGAATAAATAGTTTTGTCCTTCACCCATTAAAGAATGAGATAAGAGCATGAAATGCAATTAATAACAAGGATAATATTCTAAACTTAAGAAAGCATTCATATAATTACAGGTATTCATTAATTTCTTTGATAAACTAAATGCTTAATTTTAAAATAGAGAAGCTTCAATTAACTTCCTGTGCATAAATACTTTGATTTCAAACGAAATCTTGGCTGATAGTGAAACTTTGTCTGCATTATTCTGCACAATGCATTGGAGAAATCATTTGCCAATTCTCTATGATGCTGAACAGTTGATTAGATAAATACAGACATGTGGCATCGGGAGCCTAATCGATACAGTAAATTTTTGGATGATGAAAATGATATCACTCTTCCCAGAATATTATGTTATGTACTGTTTTTTGATGAACATGATGGTAATACCTTATGAATTGTGAAGAGAACATTTATGACTATTCATTACACTATTATCCTAATGTCAATGCTATCCACAGGCTAAAATATTGAAAGAGTCTTCATGGTACAAAATCTCCACGACGTAGGTAGTAGAACCCAAGTTGCTATAAAGACAGTAAAAGTTAAGTCATACAGTCATCAAGTGGTTATGATTGGTTGGTTGACTAAGGCAAAGCAAGATCAGCCATCTGCCTGAGGGAAGGAATGCTGTTGTGGAGAATTTTCTAAGAAAAACTGGCTCATATTTACATCACATATGTGGAAACTATGGAAATCTCATGTAGCCAGTCAAATGGAACCAGGTTTTTATAGCATACAGTTTCAAGTATAGCAGTTAACAAACAATGATAATAATGGCTATTTAACACAAAAGGTTAGAACTGCAACTTCATCTCAGCTTCATTATGATCATCTGCTTCAAAGGCAAGAAGACTTTGTCCAAGTTTATATGAAGGCTTTCTGTTCATGGTTCATTAACTCATTTACAGAAGGAAACTTGACTATATTTGGGAAAAGTAATACAATAAAAAGCTGAGTAATGTTCATGGGCAAATCTAGATACTTTCTACATTTTGGTTAAATATCATGATTTATAGAATGAAAAGTAACATTACAAAACTAGTTCAATGTTCTTGAAAAAGGCACTTAAAGAAAGAACAACATTCTCATTTAGGGAAGAATCAATCTGAATGTCCACATTCCCCCCTTCTTTTCTTTTTGGTCTGTGAAATGCTTCGGGATATCGAAGTTTTCTTTGATTAACATGCAAGATAATTTATTTTTTAATGGATAACAATTCCATAATACGAGGGCTATCCAGAAAGTAGATTACGTTTTGGAATAAAAAAAATAAACAAAGTATAGGAAACAAATTTTATTATATACAGATGAAAGCCACACTCAAATACTACTTTTCTACATAGTCACCATACAAATTAAGGCATTTATCGTGACGATGTACGAGCTTGGAAATTCCTTCGTCGAAAAATTCGGCCGCCTGCGCCTTCAACCACTTCGTTACCTCTTCTTGCAGCTGTGCGTGCGTCGTCATCAAACGCTGCATAGCCAGCCACTTCTTCATTGCTGGGAATAGGTGGAAGTCGCTCGGTTGCCAGGTCAGGACTGTACGGCGGATGAGGAAACAACTCCCACTTAAAAGATTCAAGAACTTTACGAGTGACATTTGCCATGTGGGGCCGGGCGTTGTCGTGAATCAACAAGATCTTAGAGCTCAACATTCCTCTGCGCTTGTTTTGAATTGCTCTTCTGAGTTTTTGGAGAGTTTGGCAATACCTTTGAGAGTTTATTGTAGTGCCTCTTTCCAGGAAGTCCACCAAAATTACACATTTCTGTCCCAAAAAACAGTCGCCATCATCTTCCTTGCCGACATTGTTCGCATGCATTTCTTGGGTTTTTGGGGAGAACTTGTGTGCCCCCACTGCATTGATTGCAATTTCGTTTCACAGTTCACATGTTTCACCCATGTTTTCGTCACCAGTAACGATGCCGATCGAGTAAAGAGTCACCATCCTTATGGTAAGCCGTCCAAAAAGTTCAACGCTGCAGCCATTCGCTGATTTTTTGTGGTCCTCTGTCAAGATTTTTGAAATCCATCTTGCACAAAACTTGTGGTAACCAAGCTTTTCGCTGATGATTTCGTGCAACAAACTTCGCGAAATTTGTGGAAAACTCAAAGAAAGTTCCGTTATTGTGAAATTTCGATTTTCACGGACTTTAGCATCGACTTTTTCGAGAAGTTCGGCGGTCACTATGCTGGGTCTCCCACTTCGATCTTCGTCGTGAACATTGGTTCGGCCATTTTGAAATCTTATGACCCACTGACGCACTCCACCTTCAGTGATAATGTTGTCCCCATACACTTCACGAAGCTGCCGATAGATTTCTATCGGTTTACAGTTTTTTGCAGTCAGAAACCTTATTACTGAGCGCACCTCGCAGCTCGCGGGATTTTCAATTAACGCAGACATTTCAAACCGTCACAGTATCTGAACGGAGCACAGCACGAACCTCTCACTAGCACGGCTAGATGCAGACTGAGCTGCACAACGCTCTGACCCCAAGATGGCCGCGCTAGCCCCGCCCCTAGCGGACACAGACGGAAACGTAATCTACTTCCTGGATGGCCCTCGTATATGTAACTGCTATAATCAATCATTACTCTGGGATCAGAAAATGCAGCAAACAGAATAGACAGTTCAAGCACTATAATTCAAATGAATATTTATAGAACTTTTAAGAAAATAGTTAGCTAGGCTGAACTCTCCTACAAGATCACTGAATGAACTGTAGTACGTGTTAAAATATGCATAGGCTTTGGTTCGTACCAAAGTTTCTGATAACTAGATTGACAGTATTTAGAAGATGTAACAAGCTTGTATTCAAGTCAACAATATAAGCAATCTGCATTAGGTCTCTCTCCCTATGTATAAAATGTTTTTATCATGTGTAAATTTTGGGGTGGGAGGAATTAAAAATTTTTTGGAAAGTACAGGCATAATAAAATAAAATGAATGATTTATTAGCTACGCTTATACTGAACGTTTACATGTATACAGTACAAAGTCCGAGATCCAGATGTCCAATATCAGAAATGATCTAAAATCCAAACCTCAAAACCGGCAACAATTTCTTTTTCTTCTTCTTCTTCTTTTTTTTTTTTTTTTTTTTGTTAAATGCTTTACACAAGTACATTTGATTTTTGCCCCTGGTAGATAAAACATGCGGAGAGTCCTGCTTCTTAATTTCCCTTCGGCACTAAATAAATACCTCATTATTGAAGAAACAATAATTTAGCATAAATTTGTGTGATCAATACTTTGGCTTCGTAGCTGTGTATCTGGTTGGCATACATATCAAACCGAAACATTCTAAATACAAACACCATTGATTTTACACCTACTAATATTTTATATCTCTGATGCCAACCTGGCGAATCGTTATTTATTACATTTTGCTTTCATCATCTCATGTTTATCAACACATGACAACTTGAGTAATGACTCCTGCAGCTTCCCCCCAATTTTTTTTTTAATACTAGTCAAAGCGTATGGTAACCTTATTGATATTCTTACGTTTGACAATGATTACAGATTTAAGTTAAATGCACTAAGAAAAATATCGAAGGGGTAAGATGTAAAAAAATTTTCTTTTCATATGCTAAAAATAGATTTTGTTAATAATATTCATAAGCCAACTGATTTGTTTTTCACATAAACCCAGAACCGGTGCCAGAGCTCGTATGGCCGCACCATTCAGCAGAATTTAAGGAAGAGAATATGTTTGGAATTTAGAGAAGCACCGAGCAACCAAATTAAAGGATGAAAATATTTTTTAAATTTAGGGAAAGCACTGGGATCCAAAAATTAAAGGGCCACAGAAATTTAGAAGTTAAGGAGGTGCTTGGTAGCAGAATTTAGGACACGCAGCTGCATCAGGTGGTAAGATATCTAGCGGCGGCCCTCAATATATGTAGGAATTTATTTATTCAGGATTCACATAAGCCTTAATAAGCATGTGCAAGAAATAGATGTAAGTACAATAAATAACTAAACAAGTACAATTAAATGAATAACTAAGCTAATAGTTGTTTGACTTCTAAATTAATACAATCAGGCTTAATTGTCTAAGTGCACGATAGAAGCAACACAAAATTTAGCGGAACAACTTG